AATGACCTTTTTTGTTCGTTGTCTGTCATTTCGAAGCTTAAGTTGCATACGTTTTTCTTTAGTTTTAATTTGCCTAACTATCGATCTGACCCAGTAGACGTCATAATCCCACTCTGTCTCTCTCCCGCTTTGTTTTTGTTTTTTTGTTTTTTTAAATGGTGGGTTTTTACGCAGTTGGCTAGAGCAGTGCTGATTGGGGAGAATGGAGGTGCGCTCACTCTATTGGTTAGTACAGATACAGTACCTGCCAAAAGTTTGAAACAATAACATTTTAATGCTTTTCAAAGAAGTTTCTTTTGCTCACCAAGGCTGCACTTATTTAATCCAAATACAATTTTAAATTTATTAAATTGATTAAATAGAAATCTTTTGTTACATTATAAATGTCTTCAATGTCACTTTTGATCAATTTAATGCATCAACATTAACCCTAACCCTTTTTCAACATTGATAATATTAAAACATCTTTCTTACAGGGATAGTTCACCAAAAATCTCACACTTCTGTTCTACACTGTTCTAAATCTGTATGAGTTTCTTTGTTCTGCTGAACACAAAATATATTTTGAAGAATGTTGGTAACATTTTATGGGTCCCCATTGACTTCTTCAATAGTATTATTTTTTTTCATAATATGGGATCTATGGGGAACCAATTTTTTACTTTATTTTTGGTTATTTAAATGTAGCCTTGTTGAGCCTAAGATACTTTTTTTTCCAAAAACATTCATACATTTTCAAAAAAACATTAATTGTAAGGTTTTCAAACTTTTCATTGGTAATGCATAGGTAAGTGGCAGCTGGGGTCTATTACATAATTACTAGAGCACTGCTAGAGTTTATATCAATAATAATAATAATAAACAATTAACAGAGGAACAATCTTGGATTTTAGCAGCCTGATACTAGCAGATATGTGTATGAACTGAATACTTACATTCCACGTCTTAAAGACCTGTGGGTCCTACTCACACAAGTATACTGGGATTGCACGAAGGGCTAAAGTGCGCTTCATGTTGGCATCATGGAAATCCTTCAAAAACAAGTGAAAATTAGGCCAAGTAAGCCAACTTTATTTTATTTTGAATACAATGAGGAAAGAGACTGTTGTAGTTACTGCTGAAACAGCTTTACACAGCAGGATTATTGTTATAACTGGAATACTTACATCCACGTCTTAAAAGACCTGTGGGTCCTACTCACGCAAGTATACTGGGATTGCACGAAGGGCTAAAGTGTGCTTCATGTTGGCATCATGGAAATCCGTCAAAAACAAGTGAAAATTAGGCCAAGTAAGCCAACTTTATTTTATTTTGAATAAAATGACGAAAGAGACTGCTGTAGTTACTGCTGAAACAGCTTTACACAGCAGTCCATAGCAGAACCTTATTTGGACCAAGTTCATCTTTAACTTACCTGGAGTGAACATTGTTAACTCTGAGAAAGGCTGTTTAAAGTCACACAAGCGACAAGAAAAAAACTGCATGTTCTGCTTGTGCTCCTTCACTTGCACCAGTTCTATGTGTGGCTTTGTGACTTCGTGATAAATGAATTTTCAGTGCATTAAATGACTGAAATGTTAAAATACAAGTGTCATATAAACAAGGCAAAGGGCTAATTCGTGAATAATTGCTATGCTGTGAAGGTTAGTGACTAAATAACTCTGCCCTGGTGTCTGAGGAGACAGGACACAACTTGCATTTCCCCTCCATTTAAGTTAACATTACCTCGATTGTTGAGGCTGTTTGTTGAGGCTTTGTTCAGCAAGCATCAATCTAAGCAAGCAACCAGTTCACACTGCAAGTGAAGAAAATATTCATTTATTATATTTCCAGTATTTGTACATCAGTATTACAGTATTAGTATATTATAGTATTTTCAGTCAGTCAGATTTTATTATTTAACTGAATCTAATGTCTTGTTAACTTCCCGTCGGTGTAACGTTAGCGTTAATCATTGACATTAACTTACTGCTAGCCATTCACGTGCATGCAGGGGGAAAAAAAGCACATTTACCATATCAGGGCGTTTACCATAAACAACAGCAACACACTTTCAAAGCGTAAAAATGCAGTTAACGTTAACTGAAAAGAGTTCCCAGCTAACTTTAACATTATTGCCCTGCTTGCTTGACGTTAATATAACACGAAGCAGTGACGCTAAAATAGTATTCAAAAAAAGCGCGCTAGCACTAGGCGACTGCCGCGCTTCACGACGCTTCATAAAAACCACGCATCCCAAAGATTCAACATTTTCTAACATAACAACATAACATACAAAAAACATAACAAAAAACAACTTAGAAAACTTTGACACGTTTAGATTACTTACAAGTTATTCCATGCGTTGAATCCTGCCGCTCTCGAGTGTCCGCCATGTTGAATGGATTCCTCCAACGTCTATCAGAGCAACGTCACAACGACATGACGTAGATGACGTAATTTACACCGCGCAGTCAGTATACTTAAAAATATTCAGTGAAGTAGTGATGTTTACTCAAAAATAATGAGCCCCACAAAAATAAAAGTAAACTGCTCGTTCAGAAAATGTTATTGTTTAAAGTAGCATTAACTATTTCACATATTTTAATTGTATTGTACTCAAATTTTTAATGTCAGTAGTACTGTTCGGGTTTACAGTGTAGAGAATGAGTGGAATTGTTCTTCAGGGGATCTAAAACGCACATCTGATGTGATACTGTGGCTGACGGCTGCATGGTTATAATTTTATCTTTAATAGTTTCGATCTTGGAAGTAAAGTAATTCGTAAAGTCATTACTACTGTGCTGTTGGGTAATGTCTGCACCTGCTGATGTTATATTTTTTGTTAATTTAGCCACTGTAGTGAATAAATACTTAGGGTTGTGTTTGTTTTCTTCTAAAAGAGACGTAAAGTAATTAGGGGTGGGAGAAAAAATTGATCCAGCGATGCATCGCGATTCTCTCTCCAATGATTCTGGATCGATTCTGAGAATTTCAGAATCGATTCTGAGCTTAGTTTTTAACCAGATGCGCGATGACGCTGAGTTTGCTTTAGAAACACCCGTATTCTGCTTGCTTCCAATTCCTCACACACATACACCACTCGAACCTTCCGTAAAATAATCTGTAAGTATATGTAAATGTAAGGATTTTAAGATTCTCAAGAAAGAAGTAGATCAAGAATCGTTCTGGAATCGGATCGTGACTCCCAGAATCGGATCGGATCGGGAGGTGACTAAAGATTCCCACCCCTAAAAGTAATCAGATCTAGCCGTTTTTAAGGCTTTTCTGTAGGAGAGAGTATTTTCCAACCGTATCTAAAGTGCTAGAAAAGAGAGAGTCCATAGTTTCTGTTAGGCTACATCATCAAGTTGTTCTGAGCTATTGGATATGCTGAGGAATTTAGATAAGTCAGGAAGATTACTTACAAAGCAGTCTTTTGTGGTAGAGGTGATACACGAAACTAGATAATGATCTGAGATATCATTGCTCTGCTGCAGAATTTCAACGCCATTAACATCAATTCCATGTGACAGTATTAAATCTAGAGTATGATTTCGACAGTGAGTAGGTCCTGACGTGTTGTCTAACCCCAATAGAGTTTAGAATGTCTATAAATGCTGATCCCAATTAATCTTTTCACCAACAATTAAGAACTTTTAAAACAATTAAAAATAACCAACAATTAAGACTTTATCTGCAGCCAGCACTAACACAGATATAGATTTAATGAAGTCTGTATGGTGCCCTGGTGGCCTGTATACAGTAGCCAGTAGTGCTGGGCGGTATACCGGTTCATACCGAATACCAGTGTTTATTTTTGTTATGATATGAATTTTTAAAATACCGCAATACCGTGAAACCGGTATTATTTTGAAAAATACCGTGATATAAATTTTGGTAATACCGCCCAGCACTAGTAGCCAGCATAAACTTCACAGGGAATTTATCATTAACACTTGTTTCTCTGGATAACGTTACATGAAGCACCATAACGTCAAACGAATTATGCTTGAAACTAGGGCTGGACAATAATTCAATATCAATATGTATCGCGATATAATTTTTTTCAATAACGGTGATATCGACAGCAGCCAGCACCAATTTAATTCTGTACCCGACCTGTTTGACATAAAGACCGCAACCTGAACCGCACCCGCATTAAATAGACTACTGCATCAGTAAGGCAAAATTATTTATTTTCTCATGTGACACAAGCAATCAAACCAAAATAGGCATTTGAATCTGCCAGGCAGTTTTGAACAAATGTGCATAAACTACATACTTAACTCTTCATAAATGAAAAGAACATATTTAGATATGACTTTACTGTTAAGTGCCATTGTCTCTCCTTAAACTC